TATGTATGTTTTTTATTATTGCTCAATTATTTAAGAGTAAACAGTTCTTCAGTATTTATTTTGTTAAGTATTTATTCAGTTAGATACTATTTGTAACACAAAGATAATAGGTTCTGCCCACAAGAAACTTAGATTACACAATTTACTTTTGGCATAATTTCTATCGTTATACACATCTTAATGAGGACTTTCATTTCTGATTATAAAGTATTATTCAAAGAAGAGATCTAAAGAGACTAAATATAAAAGTAGAAGTAATTACCTTATGTAAATTATTTTTGAAATGTTGACGTATAAGTACATAAAGTACACTAATTTTAATGCAAATGGAATGCATAAAGATCAATATCTTAGGCATTAGTGAGCTGAAAGGGACTGGGATTGGCCATTTTGAATCGAACAGTCTTATGGTCTACTATGCCGGGAATGACAAATTAGAGAGGAGTGACGTTGCTTTTATCTTCAAAAAGAACATTTCAAGATCTATCCTGAAGTACAGCGCTGTCAGTGATAGGATAATATCCATACGTCCATAAGAAAGACCAGTTAATAGGACTATTATTCAAATTTACTCACCAACCACTATGCCAAAAATAAAGAAATTGAAGATTTTTACCAACTTTTGCGGTGTGAAATTGATCAAACATGTAGTCGGGATGCATTGATAACTACTGGTGATTGAAATGCAAAAGTTGGACACAGAAGAAGTATCAGTAGTTGGAAAATATGGCCTTGGTGATAGAAATGACGCTGGAAATTGCATGATATAATTTTGCAAGACCAGTGACTTATTCATTAAAATAACCTTTTTTCAATAACATGAACAGCGACTGTACATGTGAACCTTGTGGGTGGAATACATAGGAATCAAATCGACCACATCTGTGGAAAGAGGCAATGGAGAAGCTCAATATCATCAGTCAAAACAAGGCCAGGAGCCGACTGCGGAACAGACCATCAGTTGCTCATATGCACGTTCAAGCTGAAGGTGAAGAAAATTACTACAAGTCCACGAGAGCCAAAGTACGACCTTGAGTATATCCCATCTGAATTTAGAGAGCATCTCAAGAATAGGTTTGATGCATTGAACACTAATAACCAAAGACCAGATGAGTTGTGGGATGACATCAGTGACATCATACATGAAGAAGGCAAAAGGTCATTAAAAAGACAAGAAAGAAAGAAAAGACCAAAATGGATGTCAGAAGAGACACTGAAACTTGCTGTTGAATGTAGAGCAGCTAAGGTGAATGGAAGAAATGATGAAGTCTAAGAGCTGAACAAAAGATTTCAAAGGGTGGCTCAAGAAGACAAAGTATTCTAATGACATGTACAAAGACCTGGAGTTATAAAGCCAAAAGGGAAGAGCGCGCTCGGCGTTTCTGAGGCTGAAAGTGGTTATTATCTACTATAACAAAAAAAGCACAAACAAAAGACAAAATAAATAAATGGGACCTTATAAAACTTAAAAACTTAAGTTCATTAAAAAAAGACTACCAAAAAAGTGAAAAGACAAGCTGCCAACTGGGAGAATATCTTCAAAAACCATATACCTGATAAGACTCTAATAACCAAAATATATGTAAAACTTCTACAGCTTAACAACAAAAAGACAACCCAATCATAAAATGGGCAAAGGACTTGAATAGACATTTCAGCAAAGAGGACATTCAGATGGCCACCAAACACATGAAAAGATGATCAGGATCATTAACCATCAGAGAGATACAAATCAAAACCACAATGAGATACCATTTCACTCCTACTAGGATGGCTAGGATAGAAATAATAATAATTAAAAAAAATAAATAGAAAATACTAAATGTTGGCGAGGATACGGGGAAATTGGACCCTTTATCCATTGCCGGTGGGAATGCAAAATGGTACAGCTGCTGTGGAAAACAGTGTGGTGCTTCCTCAAAAAACTGAAAATAGGACTACTGTATGACCCAGCAATTCCACTCCTAGGTATATACCCAAAAGACTTGAAAGCAGAGACTCAAAAAGAAATGTGTACACCAGTGTTCATTGCAGCACTATTCACAATAGCTGAAAGGTGGAAACAACTTAAATGCCCATCAACAGGTGAATGGATAAACAAAATGTGGTACATACATAGAATATTATTTAGCCAGTAGGAAAAATGAAGTCTTGATACATGCTACAGTATAGATGGAGCTTAAAGACATTATGCTGAGTGAAATAAGCCAATCGTAAAGCAACAAGTATTGTATGACTCTGTTTATATAAAACGGCAAATGTATAAGAGACCAGAGTTTATTAGTGGTTACCAGAGATGGGAGGGAGGGGGCAAAAGAGGGTTAACATTGATGGAAAAATCTCATTGATTATGGGTAGGATTGTACAGCTGATTATTGTAATTGATGTCAATAAGTTGTACACCTGTAAAAAGTTGAATTGGCAAAAGTTGTGTGATAGATATATTTATAACAGTGAACAACAACAACAAAGTAGCTATTTAGGCTACTTATGTACAACCAAACACCTCATGGGATTTGGTTCCTTGGTTTGGAGGTTTAGGGTCATGGTTTCATGGGATATCCGAGTTAATGGGCTTAATAACATGTTTGGTGCTTCTGTTCTACCTCCTGGTTTCTTGCATGGTGCCTGGGGTCTTAACAGCTTGCAGATGGCCATCCAAGGCACAACAATTGGTCTCTGTTCACCTGGGGCAACAGAGGAAGGAGAGTCAGGAATTGGAGGAGGTTATGGAATGTGTGGCTAATTGCCTCCATGAGCAACTGCCTCCTTTGTCATGAGACCAGAAGAACTGGATAGTGCCTCACTACCATTACTGAACATTTTGATCAAAGATTCCATAGAAGAACCTGAGTCAAAAGGGGGGGAAATGCAGACCAGAATTTCAAATTCTCATGGACTTTTGCCTTTCTGGAGCCATGGAGGGTGGATGAACCCCTGAAACTATTGCCCTGGGATCATCTTTAAGCCTTAAACCAAAAATACCCCTTGAAATCATCTTAAAACCAAACAATAGTTTAGCTTAACTAGTGAAAAAGATTTGCCTTGAGCATTGTAAGGAGCCCTGGTGCGCAGTGGTTAAAGGGATTGACTGCTAACTGAAAGGTCCACGATTTGAAACCACCAATGGGTCCATGGGAGAAAATGTGGCATTCTGCTTCTGTAGATTTACAGCCTTGGAAACCCTATGGGGTGGCTATGAGTCGCAGTCGACCTCATGGCAGTGAGTTTGGTTTTTTGGTTTGATTTGAGCATTGTGCTCTTAAGAACTATGTAAATGGGATAAAAGTGACAACAGCAACTTGAAAGATTAGATAGAAACCTTAGGGGGCAGTGAGTTTATTTTAATGGAGGAGAAACAACTCAGAAATGGAGAGTGAGAATGGTTACACAACTCGAAGAATGTGATCAGTGTCACTAAATTGTAGTTGTAGAAACTGTTGAACTGGTGTATGTTTTGCTGTGTATATTGTCAACAACAACAAAATAAAGCATGTTAATAGAAGGAAAATTTTAAAGCTAGAAGAGATGGATGGTTTCTAAGTTAATTTTTTTTATTGTGCTTTAGGGGAAAGTTGGAAAGCCTGGTGGCATAGTGGTTAAGAGTTCAGGTGTTAACCAAAAGGTGGGCAGTTCGAATCCTCCAGGTGCTCTTTGGAAATCGTGTGGGATAGTTCTACTCTGTCCTGTAGGGTTGCTATGAGTTGAAATCGACTCGACAGCAACGGGTTAGGTGAAAGTTTACAGAGGCAAATTAGTTTTTCATTAAACGATTAATATACAGATTGTTTTGTGTGACATTGGTTGCCAGCCCTGCGATGTGTCAGTACTCTCCCTTTCTTGACCTTGGGTTCTCATTTCTGTTTCTCCACTTTTCCTGTCCCTTCCTGCCTTCTTGTCTTTGCTTTTGGGTTGGTGTGCCCATTTAGTCTCGTATACAGGCTGAACTATGTGTGTTATTGTTTGTTTTATAGGCTTGTGTAATCTTTGGCTGAAGGGTGAGCTTAAGGAGTGACTTCGATACTGAGTTATAAGGGTGTCCGGGGGGGGCCATATTCTTGGGGTTTTTCCAGTCTCTGTCAGACCAGTAAGTCTGGTCTTTGTGAATTTGCATTTTTTTCCTGCGTTTTTCTCCTGCTCTGTCTGGGACCCTCTATTGTGATCCCTGTCAGAGCAGTCAGTGGTGGTAGCCAGGCACCATCTGATTGTGCTGGACTCAGTCTGGTGGAGGCTGTGGTAGTTATGGTCCATTAGTCCTTTGGACTAAGTGGTTTTCAATTTTAAGTAGAAGCCCAGTATGTTAATCAGATTAAGTATGGTTTCTCTTACTGAAGGGGAAGTTGAGGGTTAGATACCACATTAATTCCTTAGATTCCTATTTTCCGTGTTTTCCCAGTCTCCCCTCTTCCTCACACAGTCCTCTCCCCCACTACCCCATTGAGGCACTGCCAGGGGAGGGCAGTTTTAGAAGCATTAGTCCAGTCCTGTAGCTTTTATTTCTTTTGCGTTTACAACCCTTCTGCCTCCTTCCTCACCCAAACATGCATACACAAATGTGGTTATAGCTGTACTTTTAGAATCTGTTCATTATAATCCAGTTTTCACAGGGTTGAAAAATAGTTACATATGTCCAGGTCATTTTTTAGTGTACAGCTTAGTATATGTATAGATTCATAGACTCTGAAGTAAATCCATACATGGTCACCAGTCGTGTACTTCCCACAAATTGAGAAACACTGTTTGATGTATTCCAACATCTGCCTTCATTTAGTAGATGAAGAAACTTAGGTCCAGATATGTAAACAGGCTTTTCCATAGTCAACCAGTTAGGTAATAAGAGAGCTGAAACTAGAACTTGGAATCTTCTGACTCCCTGCTTAGTCTTTTCATGTATTTAATTGCCTGGATGTTTGTGAATTTTTGCCTTCGAAATAAAGTTTAGTGAACTGGAGGTCTAACAGGTGAAATTAAAAATCTGAATCCAAATTGGTTATTTCTAGGTCTTTGAAGAAACTGGTTTTGATATCAAAGACTATATTTGTAAGGATGATTACATTGAACTTCGAATCAATGACCAGCTTGCTCGTTTGTACATCATTCCAGGAGTTCCAAAGGACACAAAATTTAACCCGAAAACTAGAAGAGAAATTCGGGTATGTAACAAAAGTATTTGCAAGTTTGCTGGACAGTATTCCAAATGAATGAAATAGGAAGTTGTTTTTCAAAACTGCTTAATAATAATTAATTAAATGAAGTTTTTCTTCTCTATTTCAGAACATTGAGTGGTTCTCAATTGAGAAATTGCCGTGTCATAGAAATGATATGACCCCAAAATCCAAACTTGGTTTGGCACCTAACAAATTTTTTATGGCCATTCCATTTATCAGGTGTGTTCATATTTTGTGTAATACAAACTAACCATGATTTTGGTAGTTTCTTTATATAGCCAAGTTTTAAAAATGAATCCTTAATATTTCCAGACCATTAAGAGACTGGCTTTCTCGAAGATTTGGAGATTCCTCAGACAGTGACAATGGATTTTCCTCAGCTGGCAGCACACCAGCTAAACCCACTGTGGAAAAATTAAGGTAAAGAAAAATATTCATAGGATTCTGACCTGCTGCTAGGTTTTAATACAGTAGCATCTTGTTTCTAAACTTTGCAGAGGTGTAGGATTCCCTTGTATAGGTACTATTTGGTTACTGGTCTAACAGATAATAGAATACTTGTTTTTTCAAGGATTTTGATGAGATGGAAAAGGTTAGTTGAAGTGAAAAGGAGCTTCAGGCACATTTTAAAATAGTATACTCAAGAGGGTACTGGTTTTTTAGATGGATAGGTAGAACACAAGAAAAAAGAAAAATGTCATCTGTGGTTATATATATGTGTGTGGTTGTTTTTTCTTTTTTCCTTATTCTACTTCAGGTGAAGGTTTACAGAACAGATAGTTTCTCATGAAACAATAGCAGACATATTGTTTTATGACATTGGTCAACAACCCCATGACATGTCAACCCTCTCCCTTCTTGACCTTTTTTTTTTTCCTCGGTGAAAATATACATAGCCAAAGATACACCATTTCAGAAATTTCTACATGATCAGTTCAGTGACATCAACTATGCTCTTCCAGTTGTGCTGCTATTCTCACTTCAGATGAAGGTTTATAGAACAAAACAGTTTCTCATTAAACAGTTAGTACACATGTTGCCCTATGACAGTGGTTAACAACCTCACAACATATCAACACTGTCCTTACTCAGCCTTGGGTTCTCTATCACCAGCTGTTGTGTGTTTTAATATTAATTAAATATTTAATATCCTATTTGAGAAATAATGTGAATTTGTATGGAGGATTGAATGGATATATTGAGGTCTGATTTGTATAGGAGAGATGAGGAGTGCTGATATATAATTCGTGAAAGTCAAAATCATAGACCTGTGAAGACTGGCTTGTTTTTTTTTTCTCCTTTTTTTCTTTCCTTAGCATAGAGTGTGCATTATTTTTGTTGTTAGCTGCCATTGAGTTGGCCCCAACTCATGGTGACCCCACGCACAACAGAATGAAATGCAGCCCAGTCTTACACATCCCTATGATGGATTGTGGATTGGACCATTGTGATCCATAGGGTTTTCACTGGCTGATTTTTGGAAGTAAATTGCTAGGCCTCTCTGGCCCCGACTCATGGTGACCCCACGCACAACAGAATGAAATGCAGCCCAGTCTTACACATCCCTATGATCGATTGTGGATTGGACCACTGTGATCCATAGGGTTTTCATTGGCTGATTTTTGGAAGTAAATTGCTAGGCCTCTCTTCCTAGTTTGTCTTAGCCTGGAAAAACCAAAAACTTGCTTCGTTGATTCGGACTCATAGTGGCCCTATAAGACAGAGTAGAACTGCCCCATAGGGTTGCCAAGGAGTGGCTGGTGGATTCAAACTGCCGACCTTTTGGTTAGCAGCTATAGCTCTTAACCACTGTGCCAGTAGGGCTCTGATTCAGTGGGTTTTCATCAGCTGATTTTTGGAAGTAATCGCCAGGCCTCTCTTCCTAGTTCGTCTTAGTCTGCAAGCTCTGCTGAAACCTGTTCAGCATCAGAGCAGCATGCAAATCTCCACTGACAGACTGGCGGTGGCTGCGCTTCTACATGGAGGGGAGAATTTTGCCACTGAACAACCACTGCCCCTGTGTGTGCATTATAAATAGTGACTATTACATGGACATGAACCCCAAAGAACATTTTCTCGATTGGAACTTAATTGTATCTAAATTACAATTATAGAGTAGGCTGGAGAGGTAACTTTGTTAAATAAGAATGTATTTTTGTAATAAGCTTGTTAGAACTTTGCCTACTATAATAAATTCACAGAGTTGCTTTTTTGCATTTTCTCTTAATTTGAGCGTGTGTTTTTATGTGTGGTATGATTCCTAGAGTTTTTGGTCTTGGTGGGTGGGGTAAAGAGATAATGGAGCAAACTCTTTAACCAAATTTCCACTTTCTTATGTAGGGTGGTGGTTTTTCGTTTTTGTTTTTAGCTTTAGGCTAATATCTGTGATGATGTGTTGGAGGTAATGTCTAAATTTTGACTAAAGAAAAGGTAGAGAACAATTATTTTTTTCAATAGGAAAGGGGAAGAACTCAAATACACTATTCTGAAACAGTCTTATAATATGGTTCTTGGGATCAGTGAGTCTGGGCTGTATTATACATGTAAGTGGTACTATATGATGAGATTTCTTATGTTACAAAGTACTGCATGAGTACAGCCATTTAGACTGACTCTTTTGCATAAGAATTTTAGACCAGATCTTTATTTAATTTTCTTATCCCATTGTCTTGGGACCCTTAATTTTTTGCTTTAGAATACAGCATAGTTTCTTAGATCTTCTTCCAGTATGGACGAGGTCCATACCTAACCTGTGCAGGATCAGATCCCATACTTTATAAACATCCTAATAAGAATGTGAGTTTTATATTTCCATTAAGAAGGAAAATCCACCTACATTTGTTTCAGAATTCTTTTTTTAAAATTATTTTCTTCAGATTTGAAGAGTAGTCACTTATAGGGAGGAGGTGGTATAGATAATTTAATGAAGCCAGTAGGGATTTTAAAAATAAATTATTACTTCATTCAACAAATATTTATTGAATGCCAGGCTCTTTTTTAGATGTGAGTGATAAAGCAGTAGACAGAGACAGGAATCCTTGCCACTCATGAAACTTAACATTCCAGTGGGAAGGAACAGACAATAAATAAGAAATTAAAATATGTAATATGTAAGATAAACTATCAAGGTGTTAGAAGAAAGAGAAGTGAAATTTTTGTTCATCTAATTTTTACATATCTTTGTACAGTCGAACCAAATTCCGCCACGGCCAGCAGTTATTTCCTGAAGGTTCTCCTGGTGACCAGTGGGTAAAGCACAGGCAACCACTGCAACAAAAGCCATATAATAATCATTCTGAGATGTCCGACCTCTTAAAAGCAAAGGTGAGTAACATCCATTTGAAAAATTTCAGACCATGAGATCATTTGGCATATGAATTGAGGAATTCCCATATCTTTAGCTCTATAAGCAAATTAATAGTTCTGAATTGTTGATCAAAGGCTGCTTTGTCCTGACTTGTGATTTGAAACAGGCTGAGATTCCTTTGTCTTTACGGTTTAAACACGAATCCAGTGTAGTAAATCATAGGGACTAACATCTGACTTTGGTATATACATGTGCTGCCAGTGGAAAATTCATTTAAAAACAAAAATCATAAAAATGTCTTCCAGATTAAGACCTATTGGTTTTTATTGGGGAAAAAAAAGTAACAGCTTATTGTAAAATTTTACTTTCATTCTTTTTTCAGTATACTTTTTTAAAAAAAGAAGAAAAAATAAAAAAGGAAGAGTGATACCGAATAGAAAGGCTAAAATAAAAAAGACAGATAATACCAAGTATTAGTAAGAATGTGGAGCATCTTGAACTCTTGTATATTTTGCTAAGAATATAAATTGGTAGAATTACTTGAGAAAATTGTTTGTAATATACATATATACTCAACAACATAGGTGTGTCCAGTGATCCAACAGTTCCACTCTTAGGTATATACCCAAGAGAAGTGCGTTTTCATCAAAAGGCATGTACAATCATGCGTCACTTAACGTCCACAATATGTTCTGGGAAATAGGATGTTATGTGATTTGGACGTTGTGTGAACACCATATTATATACTGCTGCTGCCTATGAGTGAAAACATACACTGTTACACGGTAAACTTTTTATTTATAAGTAGAGAAAGTTCACGTGAAAATAACAACAGAAAGTACAGTATAGTACATACACAAGACAGTAACATAGGTGTTTATTATCACTGTTGGGACATTTATGTCATAGGTTATATAGGTACTGTACCATTATATGCCTGGCAGCACAGTTGCTTTGTATACAACTGACGTGAGATATGTGTGTTATGTGTGGGAAGCAGTTGGTGTTCGCTATGTCTGGTTATGTCTGCTACATCCAGTTCTCTGATCAGGATTTCTAAACTCTATTATAACCTTATGAGACCACGGATATTATGTAGTGCATGACTGTACAGAAATGTTCATAGCAGCACTTCTCGTAAAAGCCTCAAACTGTAAGCAACCAAAATGTCTATTAACAGTGGAATGGATACTGGAACTAATAGAAAGATTCAGCAGAGTAGCAAGATACAGGATAAACACACAAAAATCGGTTGGATTCCTGTACACCAATAAAGAAAACTGAAATCAGGAAAGCGTTACCATTTATAATAGCCCCTAAAAAAATAAAATACTTAGGAATAAATCTAACTAGGGACGTAAAAGAACTGTGCAAGGAAAACTACAAGCCTACTGCAAGAAACCAAAAGAGACCTACATAAATGGAAAAACATCCCATGCTTATGGGTAGGTAGACTAAACATGGTGAAAATGTCAATTCTACCCAAAGCAATCTACAGATACAATGCAATCCCGATCCAAAAATAACAGTGCTCTTTAAAGAGATGGAAAAACTAATCACTAACTTTATACATAAAGGGAAGAGTAGAGGATTATTGAAGAAAAAGAACAAAGTAGGAGGCCTTGCACAGCCTGACCTCAGAACCTACTATACAACTACGGTAGTCAAAACAGCCTGGTACTGGTACAGTGACAGACACATTGACCAGTGGAACCAAACTGAGAACCCATATGTAAATCCATCTACCTACGGCCACCTGATTTTTGACAAAGGGCCAACGTCCATTAAATGGGGAAGACAGTCTCTTTTAACAAATGGTGCTGGCAAAATTGGATGTTCATCTGTAAAAAAAAAAAAACCGGACCCATACCTCCCACCATATGCAAAACAGATTAAAGACCTAAATATAAAACCCAAAACTATAAAGAACATGGAAGAAAAAATAAAGTTCAACGTAGGGGCACTAATATCTGGCATAAACAGCATATAAACCATAATTTAACAATACACAAACACCAGAAGATGAGCTAGATGAATGGGATCTCCTAAAAATGAAACACAAATGCTCATCAAAAGACTTCACCAAAAGAGTAACATAGAAGATAGAAAAAAAAAGTGGGATGGATTAATAAATTGTAGTATAGTCATATACTGCAATACTACATAGCACTACTAATGAATAAATTATTGCTACACACAACATTGATTTATCTTGCAAACTTGTTAGCTACTGTCAAGTCAACTCTGACTGCTGGCAGCCTTGTGTACAGCAGAAAAAAATATTGCTTGGTCTTGTGTCATCCTTAAGATCACTGGCATGTTCAAGTCTATTGTTGTGGTTATTATGCCAGCATATATCATCATGGGTCTCCCATGCCTTCATTGGCCCACTTCTTCACCAAACATGATGTCTTCCTTTTGCTATTGATCCCTCCTAATGATGTGTCCAAAGCTAGCGTGTTTTTCATTGGCTAATTTTCAGAAGTGGATTGCCAATCCTTTCTTCCTAATCTTAGTGTAGAAAAGCTCTGCAAAACCTGTCCACCATAGATGACCCTGCTGGTAGCATAGCTTCTGATACCATAGCAACACACAAGTCACCACAGAACGACAAACTTAACAGGTGGTGGTCTCGAAAACAATGTCCAAGCAAAAGAGGCCAGTAACAAAAGGCACATAATTCCATTTGTAAAAAGTTCCAAAAAAGGTAAAACTAATCCTTTTGGGGCTAGTGACTGAGACAGGCCTAATAGGGGCTTTTAGGGTGCTAGTTATATGGATGCTTTCAGTTTGAAAATTCATCAAGTGACATGCTTTTGATTTGTGTACTTTTTCTGTATGTGGTGACACAGTGCTTAAGCGCTTGGCTGCTAACTTAAAGGTTGTCGGTTCAAACCCACCGGGGAGAAAGATGTGGCACTCTGCTTCTGTAAAGATTACAGCCTAGGAAACCCTATGGGGCAGTTCTGCTCTGTCCTGTAGGGTCACTGTGAGTCAGAATTGACTCAGCGGCAGCAGGTTTGATTTTTAATATGTGAACAAATTCTCTTTTTTTTTTTTTAAGGAGAAGGGTAGTGCTCCCCCCCCCTTTTAATCTTTGCTTTTTAATACTTTATTTACTGGTAGTGTATTTTTTTGTAGAACAAAGGATAGCACTATTTCAGAAGCCTTGGTGTTGAGCTTGAATTAAAAGTGTGTGATGACATGAGTTTCTGAAAGCCATATTTCCCTCCCATATTTTATTTTAGGTTAGCATATTATTTTCAAGCTATTTTACTAAGTGGTTAATTTTTTTCTGTAGGTAGGTTTAATGTGAGTAAATAAACATTTTTATCTTCTTGAATAATAATAAAGTTATTATTTTATTCATACTGTTTTAGCCAGCCCTCTTAAATTGCTATCTTTTCAAGATCTTTAAGGACAAGTTAACATTAAAAATGTTACATGTTTTTAGTTAACCTTAGAATTTTTTTGTTGTCAATAGACCCAACTGAAATTAAAAGAATCATAACAGATTACTATGAAAAATTGTACTCTGACAAATTTGAAAACGTAGAGGAAATGGACAAATTTATAGAAACTCACTACTTACCTAAATTAACACAAACAGGTAGAACAACTGAATAAACCCATAACAAAAGAAGAGATTGAAGAGGTTTTCAAAAAACTCCCAACAAAATAAAGCCCTGGCCCGGATGGCTTCACTGGACAGTTCTACCAAACTTTCAGAGAAGAAATAATACCTCTTCTACTAAAGGTATTTCAGAGCATAGAAAAGGATGGAATACTCCCAAACTCATTCTATGAAGCCAGCATAACCCTGATACCAAAAC